ACTGAATAATGTGTGCTTTGAGTAAATCAGATAAGAGCAGTCTGTCAACACCACATACATGAACCCGGAGTGCCTGGGGTATGTCACAGAATCCCTTACCTAACAGTAGCACCATCTTCAATTGGAACAACGCTTTCACATAATGCAGGCTGATCTCATAATTCATACCCGTGGCTAGTAACCATAAACCCTTCGAACCAACAAAAAACCATTCCATAAAATTTTGTAGATTTTTCAAATAAAAACCTCCATGATTCTGTCCTAACCTATCAATGAACACTGGCCTGCTTTTATCTATATATCTTCATGAACTTTAATACGCACATATGGTGTGCAGTAGAAAGAAGTCCATTGATCATCCTGTGATTAAACAGTTCCTATGAAGAGGTTACTGAAATTAAAGGTCTCAAAAGGGAATTAGAAGTAGACCTTCTAACTTGTCTTCCTGGTGAATGTAAATGTCTCCTCAGAACATGCAATTCAGAGTAACTGATGACTTTGAAGGGAATATATTCTGATAAAAACAAAGCCAAAAGATCTAGCCCTACTGAAACATACAAATCTCATTGAATAATTAGCTTTTTTTTTTTTTTGACAAGCTCAGACTCAATTATTCCTCGGCTTTTTGCAGGTAAACTAAACATTTTTTTCCATTCATTGAAAAGTTATACTCTGTCATTTCTTAGCTGTATAAATTATAACAGAATGAGAAACTAGACCTAGGATTGGTATAAACTTGAATCTGTTCAAGCAAAAGCTTCATAAGCTTCTATGCAATCATCCTTTGTTTTAAAAAAGAAGTATAGATCAGCCACCATCACTATTATTCCTGTGCTTGTGGCAGCTAGGGGTGGCCAGCTCATGGGGACCTGGGGGTACAGGTTTGCAGGAGACCGGTGGGTAGTACTGGTAGGCGCATGTGTGGACCTGGGAGCTCACACTCAGGCAGGTAAAGTGAGTGTGGGGATTTCCCCATGTGCTTGGTTCTGGGTAGGATGGGTGGAGAGGAGGGGAGGGGAGAGCCCCAGGTTAGCATGCTGGGCTGGTGAATGGGATTGGGAAACTGTGAATGGGCCTGGATCTTGGGCGTGTAGAGCGAAACTGTCCCAGGGCAGCACTCATACCATTAGCCAGAAGTCTGGGCTGGGAAACCCATGTTGCAGGTGAGGAATGATTTCTGAAAGACTCCCAACAACAAGGTCACTCACTGTACTTGCAGTTAAGCAAGGGGGCTGAGACCAGGCAGTTTGGAGGGGAGAGGCTGGAGGACTTTTATGGGTCAGACTGTTTCATCAGCCCACATGGAAGACCCAAGTTGGGCTAGTTAGCATTGACCATACCCAACCACCGCTCAAGAATACACACTAAAGCTAGGGCTAGGGGTCTGCCTGGAGGGGCTACATCACAGTACCCAGCAGTGAGCGTCAGAACAGGAGATGAGTAATACTAGCCTGGGTCATGACACTAACCAGCATATCAGAGAACCAGGTCCAGGGGCAGAGTCTGTAGAGGGTATGTGGAACTGTAGAACTGCAATTTCTGCTACCTAGCTTAAGTGCTGGGGATGATGATGGACAGAGCTAGGCTGGTCAGGGAACCCTCTGACACTCATGGGTACTGGGATAGGGAACAGGCGGAGCTGGTCCAGGCTGCAGTACCCACAGGTGCACCCAAGAATGGGGTATGGGACAGGACAGGCTGCAACATCCACCAGCTAAAACAAAGGCCAGGATGGAGGGGGGTAGACAATGCTGGGTAAAGGCCTTGTACCCACTGGCACATGTACAACCTTGGTCTGGGGGTGGACCTGGTGGCAAAACTTGGGAAAGTCCCCTAGTGGGCCATAATTGCGACTGGTGAGCATGTGGTTCAGGCCTGGCTGTTGGTCAGACTAGGTAAGGTAAATCCACCCACTGGCAAGTGTGTGGTTTGGTTCTGGTGGGGGATGAACTGGGCGGGACTGGGCAGGGACAGGCCAATCTTAGCCCACCAGAATGTATAGAAGGCAGGTTGGAGCACAGGTCATGCTGGGCTAGGCTATCACACTTACTAGTTTGCATGAGCCAGGGATGGGAGCAGACTGGGCAAGGCTAGGCTAGAGCACTGGCCAGGGAGAATTGGAGGCAATTTGGGACAGATCAGGCTGCAGCATCTGGTGGCAAAGGCTAAGACAGGGGATGGGCTATGCTGGGTTGGGTCAGGGCAACTACTGGCACACACAAGATCTGTGGCTGGGATCAGGCCTGGTTGGGGAGCTAAGGGGATTCCCTAGCTAGGTTGTGGCTCTCACTGGTTAGCATGACACCCAGAATAGGGGTGGCAATCTGGGTTGGACATGGCTGCAGTGTCAGTCGGCACAGGTGTGAACTGGGTCTGGGGTAGACTTGAGCACAGACTGGGATACACTCCAGCACACTGGTGCTCATGAGAGCTACAGTGGGTGTAGGACAGGCTTGGCTAGGTCTCGGCCCCTGCTGAATCATGCAAGAGCTGTGTGTTGGTATGGACAGGTAGGGCTGGGCTGTAGCACCCAAGAGTAAAAACAAGAATGAGTGTGAGCTGGTTGAACAAGGCCATTTATTTCTGCCAAGACTGGAGGTGGACTAAGGCAGTCTGGGCCAAGGACCCACTGTGTGCATCAGATCTGTCACTGGGAAGAAACCTGATAGAGGAGCTTGGGGAACTCCTCTGTCAGGACACAGTCCCTGCAAGTGAGCTCAATAAACAAGGATGGGAGCAGCCCAGACCAGGCCAGGTTACAGTAACCACCAGCATGTGTGTGACCCAGGTCTGGGGCAGGCCAGGTTGGGCCAGGTCATAATACCCAGTTGCGGATCTAAGAACCAGGATGGGGTGTGAGACAGGCTGGGTCAGGTCGCAACACCAGCCAATTCACATTAGGGCCTGGACTAGTGGTTGGCTGGTCTGGCTAGGCTGCAATACTCATCAGCGTGAGCTGGAAATGTGGGCAGACTGAGCCAGGCCAGGCTGTAACATCTGCTGGCAAATGCTGAGGTTAGGTGGGCCATGCCAGACTGGGCTGCAGCACCCACCAGCACATGTGGACCTTGCTAGGGGCAGGGTAGGGTATGGGCCTGGGAGGGAGATTGTGAGAGGCTCCCCTGCTGGGCCACTGCTCCCACTGGTGAATGTGAGAACTGGGACTGGGGGCCAACTAGGCCAGACAGGGCTGCAATACCTGTTGGCCTGTGTGTAAACTAGGCTAGACAGGGCTGCAATACCTGTTGGCCTGTGTGTAAACTAGGCTAACCTATTGTACCCATTGGCACATGCATAAGCCAGGGTAAGTACAGGTTGTTTGGACTTCGCTGCACCATCAGCTGGCAAGTGTTGGGACTTGGGGAAAATCCTGTCAAGCTAGACTGCAAAACCACCTGAAGAGTGCAATACATGGCACACCGAGTGGGTCCAGTGGGGAGATTGTGGGCTTCTCTCTAATGGGCTACAACTCTCACTCGTGATCATGAGAACCAGGGTTGGGAGCAGGACTGGCTAGACAGGTGGTAGTACCTGCTAACATGAATGTGGGCTGGGGAGTGGAGTTGGTTCAGTAGGCTTCAAAACCCATTGATGTGTACGAGAGCCGAATGGGATGTAGGATAGTCTGGATCAGTCTACTGCACAAACTGAAAAGCATAGGAACCAGAGCTGGGGGTAAGCTAGTGGGCAGGTTACTGGGAGTGACTCTGACTAGGCTGCAGCTACTGCTAGTGAACCTGAGGGCCAAGTATGTAATGGGCCAGGTTGCGTCGGGCTGCAGCATCCACTAGTTTATGTAAAAGAGGGGGCTAGAGACAGAACTGACCCAGGAATTACAACTACTAGTGTGCGCATAACCTGATGTGTGAGACTGACAGAGCCGGACCCCCTACTGATAAGCACACATAAGAGTCAGATCTGGGATCACTTCAGATGAGGTTTCTTTGGGGATCCCCCAAATTGAGCCACTGGACCCAGCTCCAGCCATGGGGAAAATCAGATACCATGGAGTGCTTGCAGAACTGGGCCTCCTCAGCGGCTTATATGAAGCAGTGGTCAGCATACCCAGATGCACATGGAGGATATGGCAGTCCATTGGGGCATGCAGAGGACATGTGGTACCACAGCAGAGGAAGGAGGGCAGAACAAATTGGTCAACTACCCCAGCCAAGTGTTGGCATCAAATTCTGGGCAAATGGAAAATCTAAGGTGAACTGTGTCAGCCAATGGACCTTGGAAGGATTTTCTCATCCTTAAATTGGCGAGATAAACAGCATTTCAGAACCATCGAATTATTGAAACCACTTGAACATAACCCTTGGAGCATGCTCCACATCAGGGATCGTGGGATGACATCGGGTGGCGGTTGTCCATTCCCGGGTACTGAGGCAGTTAGGAGGCTGAGTTGGCTTCTCCCTTTGTGTCCCTCCTTCCCCAGATACAAGAAGAAGAAAGAAAGAAATATAGAAACATGGGCTCACCCACCTTCCCCTATACCTCGACCTTTCCCACCCTAATGAACTATGAAGCCATCAAGAATAAACTTAAAAACAAGAAAATCCAAATAACAATGATAATTATATATTATGTATTCAATTAAGAAATTAGCCTACTTATTAGAAGTTAAATGACATAAAACTCAAATAAGCAAGAAACACACGAAGGCTCACTTAAAGATTACAGCTCTGGACAAAAATATTGTCTGCTCCTGTGAAAGGAAACTGAAACAAGTAATTACTTTTTAAGGTAAAGCCATCTCTCCTCAAAAGAACACCCTACTTGCATCAGAATAAAACCATTTAAACAATACCCGATTACCTCACATCAAAGCCCTTCCAAGTCCCTCAGTCATTTCTTCTAATTAGAGCTAATAAAGATGTGAATTTATATGCTGACTGAGGTTTGCCACAAATCCCTAGAAAAACCCATTGGAGAAATTAACCAAAGTGATTCCGGTTGGTTTCTTCTCTCCAGAGCCAGTCCAGCCTTGGCTTCCCTACCTGACAGGTGCACCTCTGCTCTGAGCAGGTTTCAGCATGACTGTCACTGTGTTGTCAGTTTGATTCAAAGGTGTCTCCAGTTCATAAGCTGGCATCGAGGGTGCTGGGGAAAAAGGCACAAGACAGAGACTCATTCCTCAATGATCTTCTTGGGTGTATTTCCCACAAACTTCTACAAAGGCATGAAGAACGCAGAGCACATACTGTAAATTGCCACTATCAACTGACCACGAATGAGCTTAATGTCTATTCCCTACACAGTGTGATAACTACTCCAACCAGGATATAATGACCTCTTTGAGTTGAAGCTGGAAGCTAGGAGGAGGGGGGTGTGCAATCTGCATTGTATTCTGGCTAGATGGATGTAGTCAGTTTGTGAAAATTAATTGAATCGCTTCTCGGTCTTTTGGCTAAGATCAAGTGTGAAAATTAATTGAGTTGGACACTTAGAATTTGTGTATTTCACAATGAATACACTATCCTCAATAAATCATTTACCTTAAAGGCATATTTACATTTTTATAATGAGTGTTTAGACCATAAAGAAGAACCTGACAGCTATTCATCTTAGTAGAACAGGGAGATTTGGAGAGGACAACAGAGCCAGAGACACTTGCCAGGATTAATCAGTGATAGCTCATGTACTCTCAGGAAAAGCACAATAGAGCACAACAGTGGGAAACATTTGAGAATGGAAGAAAGACTTGCGCTTGGCTTTTTGTTGTGCTTTGTTTTTAAACAGCCTAAGAGCTCGTTCTCACCTGAGCTTCAGCTATTTTTGAAAGCTGGGGGAAATGACCTTTTGTAGCAATCTGAAGAGATAACATAGCCAGTGAGCAAGGCAAATATAATTTTACTAATGCTGGTTCTCTTCCCAAGTGAATCCTGTTCACAGGGCCATGTCCTGGCATTCTTTCCTATATAGACTGTAATGTCTGATTTTATATATGTATAAATCTCTTCTGTATCTCTGTCCCCAACACTGAGGAGACATGCCATTAGGTACAGCAGTAGGGGGTGCATTGGGAGGTCACCAACTTTCCACAACCCAGATGTGGAAGTACCTAACTTAATAAGAAAAGAAGAAATGGTTTCTTAATCAGTTTACAAAGTTTTCCTGTATACAAAGCAGTTTTCATGAAACAAGTATGGGTTACTTCTTAATTCCATACATTGAATTTTTCCATATTAAAAATTAACTCCAATTCCATTAAACATGAACTCTGATTCTTCACACAGAATTACATTTTTATATACATGAATAGCTCCTTTTTCTTTGGTCCATGAAAACTGGGTGCATGAGCTGTAACTTTTAAAATTATGCAAATCCAATAATATTCTTGATAAGCCTGCCTAGGCTAACTCACTTTGGGATAAAACTATAGAACTAGGTGTGCCAACAATGGTCACAGTTATATTGATAAAAATTTTTATCTAATAAAAACAGAAAAAGCAAGTCTTCTGTAAGTGAATACTCCCTTTAAGAGAATAATCTCTGAAATGGGGTTTCCTGTCGAGAAAAACTTCAGTGAAGATACAGATTGCCATGCATTTCCTACTTAAGTACTCATGATACATTCATGCAATAAATAATATCACCTTAAAATATGTAAGCTAAAAGTCGCTTAACATCGAAGGGGAAGCAAATGCAAAAATCTATGTTATGGTTAGCAGGAAGAAGTTCTGGAGGCCTACTGAAAAATTAGGATGGCCACAGATAAAGCCCTTTAAAAAAGTTAAATGTTTGAAGAAGTAGACATGTTTACCCTGACAAGTCATCATGTATGTGTATATATTTTTATAGAAATAATACACAGTACCCCATAGATATATTAAGAAATAAAATAGAAATTAATTTAAAATGAATAATGTTAACTGGAATCCAACTAACTATATCCAATGATTTTTCTACTCAACCCATATGTATCACCTTCATCGCATTTTAAGCTTGTTGATACTGATTTTTATTTTCTATTTCTATGTATTGTTCTCACAGCCTAATGCTTTATGTTGCATGCCAAATATACATCAGTTTCAAGTTTGTGCTCATAAATCAAACCTTGCACAATGAAAAATTATCCTTTAAAATATACCTGTTTAAAGGCAAAACTTCAAATCTCTTGTCTCAACACCTAGCAGAACGCTTGCAATACTCCCTTTGTGGATATTCCCTTTCTTCAATTCCAAACAAAAATTTTCATAAACCTATGTATAAGGGGGCAGTAGAAAAATCAAGCTAGATATTCTCACAGTAATCCTGGCTGATAAAACACTACCTCCTTCCCGCACTTCCATCCCATCTGTCCCCCAGCAGAACCGTGGAATCCAAGAAGCAATTCCTTCCCTATATATACTCAAATAAAGGGGGAGAATGGAAAAAAAGAACATGTCCCTAGAGCTTTGTTGTGGTTCAATATCCCAGAACAGAAGTCAACATCACTTTCTCTAGCTAGACATCTTCTACATACCTGAAAGCTATTAGAAAAAAACTATCAAATTATGGATGGTACAACTGAGACACTAAAAGCCAAACAGCTGGCAGTCAGAGGTGTCTGGTGCCATCCTGAATGCTGTCCCTGTTTTCAGGATGGGAAAGCAGTAATGGTCCAAGTCCCGAGGAAGACAGGTCCTTCGGGGAGAAGAACCCACGTGGTGCTGCCTTTCTGCTGATCTCCATGGTTCATGGCTTACTATGGAGGATTTTACAATATTGCTGCCCTGGAAATGAGGGCTTGGCCATGAGGATGAGCCTAGACTCTCGCTCGCCTCCTACCAAGTCCTGCAAGGCAAGTTATTAACGTGACAGTGAACACTTCTAACAGGGTCCTTAGGCTCTGAAGTGACACGGATTTATAGGATCCACTTAACTCCATGTGTCTAAATTTCAGAAATCCAGAGGTGTTCATTTGAAAAAAAAATATGCTTAATGTATGTAAGCTTAGCATCATCCTTGATAACAGGAATGAAAAAGTACAAAAGCACTGCTACCAATAAGTCTTTGCCGTGAACTTGCAATACCTGATATTTTGGTGGTGAACTGGTTTGTTGCTGGAGGCCCAAAGCCTTTAGCTGTGCTCGCTCGGATGGTAAATGAGTACGTGGTCCCAGGATACAGTCCGAAAAACAGAAAATGAGTTTCATTTCCCAATTTTGAGACTCTTCCACTTTGATTGGATAAATCTATTTCTGGGTCAAAGGAACTGACTGCTTTGTAGGTGATCTGCAAAAGAATAAAAAAGTGTTCAAGAACTACAGCAGATGGACCCAGATTGTATTTTTATCCAGTAAACCCTTGTGATGCGTGCACTATCAGGCTCTTCATGATAAGTTTTTCCTTCTCTCTAAGACTCTTCAAACCCCGAATCCACAGAAGGGAAGCAGGTGCTCAGCCAAAATAGTTCAGACTTACTACCTTTATAGACATGGAAACTTAAAGCCGGTAGATCAGAACACAAAGGATGAGCTCAGATTTGAGCTTACACCTCCAAGTTGTTTGCTTTCAGAATATCATTTTGTAAAACTACAGTACAGTTGTTTTAGTGTAAAATAGGCAACTAGCTCCAACAGAGAAGGCACCAAGAGGAGGAGGGCCTCAGCTCTACTGTAGGGGCCACGTAGCGCTGAATAGAATATTGCCTACTGGGAGCAAGGCACTTCCAAGTGTTTTCCATCAGCGTAACCAAAGATATCTGCTCTAAAAGTGAGTCCCAGCTACACATCCGTGCATCGTGATGCTCTGTGAGCAGAATGCTACCCATTCTAGATGTGTACGTGGGTTTTTGCACAGAACTCTGTTGTACAACAATTTCCTACCATGCTAGAAAATGTCCCCTGCCCTGTTCAACAGGGAGACCACCAGCCACACGTGGTGACCCACCACAGCGCTTGAGGCTGAGGTGCTGTGAAGTTTCTCCTTGTTGATTTCCGTTAATCCGCCTTTAAAGGTAAATTGCCACACATGAGCTAGCAGCTGCCTTCTCTGGCAGTGGTTTTAAAAGTTTTCACTCTGACTGCCATGCAACATATTCAAAACCTGTCAGATGAGCCCAGCATGTTTGAAAATAAATTTAACATAGGTACCTTTAAATTTTGCCCTTTTGAATGATTTTTCAAAGAATTTCACTAAGAGTAGTTCATCAGCTATTCAAGAAGATGCACTTCAGTGGTGATTACTAACTTCTACTGGTGGTAATGACATAATTTTTAAATGGAGCATATTCCAAAGTTTTAAATTGCAAAACTGAGCCTATTTCTCGCTTGTAAGTAGGTAAACCGACTTATAATTTATGTGCATGAACACTAACACTGTTATTATACAACGTGATAATTGACATTCTTTCTTCTTATATTTACACCGTGTCATTATAATTAAGAAGACCTCTCCGAAAGTGTATTTAGAACAAATCAGCTGAGCTTTGGCAGAAGAACGTTTGCTGTATAGGTTAATCACCGTGACGCGTGGCGCTACCGGCGTCAGGCAGAGTACCACTGTTAACCCCTGACCGACTTTCCTTAGCATGCGCAGCACGGGAAGAACAGACAACAACACAGCAGCTGCCTGACAGCCAGGTCAGCCGCTTAGCTTGGGGAAGGGCCTGGGCTCACCTGCATCTCCATGCTGACACCCACAGAGATGGTTACAGGTGACACAGCTACACTGAGCCAGCCCACAGCTTTCCTACTCACTTCCACACACACTCAGAACTTTCTGAGTGCCTCAGATGTGCCAAGCACGGCATTCTGCACTGGGGTTTCATGTGGTGTTGTAGATCTTGTCCCTGCCCTGCACACAGCATGTGTCTGGCAGGAAAACGGGGAAGCAATACATCGACCAGGACAGCACATAGTTATAACAAAGACCATCACTGTGCCCCAGAGTTAAGTGTCTTCTTGCTGACTGTATTGCCCAACTACAAACGTTAATGGAACATAAAGACATAGGGGACAAATTCCTTAGCCATGTGTTTCTAATTCACCTTCACCTGCTTGTCCAAACATATTTCAGAATATGCATGCAGCTTTGTGACATCACACGGCCGCTGTTCTGCATAGTTATACTGTCCCACAAACAATTTCGATGCTTTTCCAAAACTGTTCTTACTCACAGACTTTCCTCCACTGTGGCTATCTCTATTCCAGTCACTCCTTCCATCTGAACTACAAATGGAACACACTTTGCAAGCACTGTCATCAGCAGGCGGAATTCTGCCTCAGGGAGTTAAGAACCTGGACTAGATAAACTGGAAATGAAGAGACCTACAATATGGAAATAAATAATGCCAAAACACTACGTCCGATGGCAGAAACAAGCGGGGCACAAAGATAAGGACTGCTGTGGGGCAGAGAGGGATATATGCAGGCCACTCAGGACAGTCAGTGGGAGACCTGCTAGGGGTTGGCATGAAGCTAAGGAGAGCTGGACTCTGGGGAAGAGCTGGATGCACAAGGAGTCGGGAGAACAGCCGAACCGGGGAGTGTACAAGGGGCACAGTTAGAGACCAGGAAGCAGGTCCGTGCTATTCTGGGGCTGGAGAACTGTCAGCAGCTATCCCATGCTGCACCCGGCACCCCAAAAGAAGAAATTTGGAAACACATAACTCAAGTCCTGGGGGCTTTTTGGTTACGCAAATAAAATGATCTGATTTCCCCAAAGGCAAGAAAGGTGACTGAACAAGAAGCAGGTGTTGCAGCATTATCAACACACCACTGCACAGTGCACATGAGGAAAGGGGGTGCCTGGGGCTACAGGACAGAAAAGAAGTGGCAGATTTTAGAGAGACAAAAAGGTCAGAACCTGCAGAGACACTGGACATGCATGGCAGGGGAAAGAATCCAGGATAAGTTTGGTGACCAGGGCTTGAGCAAAAGGCAGTCCCACTGATTAAGTGGGATGGAATGAAGGAAGATCAGTTTACAGCCAGATGTGGACACACCAAGTTTTAAATGCAACTGATATTAAAGTGGACATATATAAGGGCCATCTGAACAGATAGTGAAAGTCAGAATTAAAAGATAAGTCCACTTGGTACAAAAAGTTTTGAAACCCACAGAACGCATTTTTTTAAAGATTTGTTTTATTTATTGGAAAGTCAGATATACAGAGAGGAGGAGATACAGAGAGGAAGATCTTCCATCCGATGATTCACTCCCCAAGTGAGCACAACGGCCGATGCTATGCTCATCCGAAGGAATCCAGGAACTTCTTCCGGGTCTCCCACATGGGTGCAGGGTCCCAAAGCTTTGGGCTACCCTCGACTGCTTTCCCAGGCCACAAGCAGGGAGCTGGATGGGAAGCTGGGCTGCCAGGATTAGAACCGGCGCCCATATGGGATCCCGGGGCGTTCAAGGTGAGGACTTTAGCCGCTAGGCCATGCCGCCGGGCCCCAGAATGCTGTTTTTCTATCACCTTTTTGAAAACCCCTTGCAGCAATGGATTGCAAGGCTTTTGCATGCCTAAGTAAACCTATCTTTTTGCTTCATTTTTCCACAAGCATTTTGAAGTACCTCTGATGTACAACATAAAGCTGGGATGCAAGAAACGAATGGGTAAGAAATGGAGACTTGAGGGCACTCAGTACCCATCTGACATGGTCTGAAATGAATGAGCTTATCATTGAGAGGAGATTTAGAGGAAAGAAAGCCTCCCAGTACTACCCCCAATGAAAACTGGCATTTACTTATTTCATACTTTATGTAATTATTTAAGAGACATGGAGAGACAGAGAGGAAAGGGTGGGTGCAGACACTCTATTCAATAATTCACTCCCTAAATGCCCACAGTGCCTGGATGGAAGATGGATATTGAGAACCTTACTTGATCAATCCACTGTTGCCTCCCAGAGTACGTATTAGCAACAAGTTGGAGTCCGGAGCCAAAGCCAGGGGTCAGAGCTAGGTAATATGATGTGGACTATGGACATCTGAAGCGGTAGACTAAATGTCTACTCTGAATACTGATATTTGATGTAGGATAGAGGCGCATCAGCCAACCAGGTGCCAGGAGACCAGGAAGAAGAGCATAGAAAGAGCTGTCACAGACACCGAAGCTTACGTGTGTCTTCTGGGATGCTGTCTAGATTAAGATGGGGCTGGAAGGTTGTTTGTATCTGTCTAAGACTCAAGCCAGAATTCCAGTTTTGTTTACCTGTAAAGCTATCTTTCCAAATCTGCCCTAACAATCTTTAGCATTCTCTGACTGCCCAGAGCCGTGACTGTGTTTATACGATTTATAAGGCAATGAACCAGGGAGCACAGCACAAACTCTTGATTCGTTTTAAATCATGATTTCAATATGCCAGAGGAATTGGAACATTTCATGTAATTACATCTTATTTCTGAGGAGTGACTGATGGCTGCTGCTTCTTTTTGATCCCACTGTGCTCTGTAAATATTTGGCACTTGGTATATATTTCCCTAAGAGACTCCTGGGGAGCGCAGGTGCCTGCACATGCTGTAAACACTTACACGGCGGCATGTCTGTGCTCCACTGACAGACTGTAGTGAAGCTCAACCACAGAATGTGCCGTTTCCCTGGGGCCAACGAGCCGGTGTCTGTGTAGGTGCAGGACTCACTGAGCTGGGGCTTTAGAAACTTTCAGCCACAATCCTTGGGTAAGAAACTAAAAAGTGTGGAACCTTTCTTCTTTGTCCCTAAAAAAATGCAGTATAGGAGTTGGAGTCATGATGAAGCAGGTTAAGCTATTGCTTGTGATATGGGTACTCCATATCAGAGTGTTGGCTCCACTTTCAATCCAGTTTATTGTTAAAGCGCCTGGGCAAGGGAATGGGTGACAGCCCAAGTACCTGGGCTCCTGCCACCCATGTAGAAGATCTGAATAGAACCCCTGATTACGGGATTCAACTTGACTCCTCTCTTGTGGCAGCCATCTGTGGGAGTGAATCAACACATGGAAGATCTCTCTCACTCTCTACTAAATAATAATTCCATTCTGTTAAATAATCTTTCAAAATGTACATATACACTCATTGATGTACTCCTAAAAATTGTAAATCTCCTTCTCCATCCCCATAAATCTCCTGTGCATATACAAGGAGAAGTCGAAATGTTCATGGAAAGAGTAAGGAGTGCAGTAGGTGAAGCCACTTCTTTGTCACCACCCTGCTCCAGAGCTTTGTTTTCCATGCTAGCTGCTGCACACCTGACGCAGCTGCCCACTGACATACCTGGGAAAGCAATGGAAGATGGCCAAGAATGAGGAC